ATTTCTTGTATATTTATCTGTATATGATTTAACAGTTCATTTCTCATTATATATCTAGTTATCTTTATAAATAAATATATTATATTATCAGGAATTTGGTTTTATCTCTCTAGAGAACCCTGTCTAACACAATTACTGAGCACACCTCCAGCTACAGTTTCGGTGGTTGTAATGTGAGCAGCTTCAGGAATAATGGTTGTCATTGCTATTAAAACCTTACATTGCATTTTCATGTTTTTGAAGATTCGCATCTATGCTATCACTGGGTTCTCCTCATACACCTCCAAGATTGATAGGGAAATATTAATAGCCTGTAGGAAACTGAAGCAGTGCAAAGCTGAGAGACTGTCCCAAAAAGCTTTCAGATATGAATGAACCAAGGCCCCTGACCACTAGCCAAAGACACTTCCCACAGGACTAACACACATCCTGGTTCCCAAAGCAAAACTCACTGTGCAAGAGGGAAACAAACAACTGCTCTCTTATTTCCTTGTCATTTTTCTTTCGTCTGAAGGAACTGTTGGTAAGGGCAAAGCTTCCATAAAGTTATGGCCAACTTCCTTTGAGAGGACCTGCATCATGAAGGGCGGATGATGAGCCTCTTCACATGCATTGGGGGGTGTTTGAGAGACAGCACTGTGTGGACAGAGTCCCTGGATAGTACAAACTGTGTAGGTGCTTGGCTGCTGATGACAAGGAAGAAAGTTTGAGTCCATCTAGCCACCCCTTGGAAGAAAGACAGGATGATCTACTTCCAAAAATATCAACCCTGTAGAGCACACACATACACAGAGTAGCCACACAGGACCTACCAAGTGTGGTGTGGTAGTTACAGAATGACACGTCAACTTGATAAATAAGTGTAGGGGTGGAGTCTAGCCTGTCAATTAGGTCACAGCCTGATGATGGCTCCCTATGGGTTTGGCCTTCTCATGAGGATTCTGGGAACTTTCTTGCTCTCTCGCTACTTCGCTTTCCTGCTGTTGACACACTCGGAGAGCTGGAGGAGCCACATGGAGACCCGCACCAGCACTGAGGTACTTCCACCGTCATTGGATCCACAAGACTTTGCACCCACCAGCCTGTGATCTTCCTGCATTTTGCTTCATTGCATGTGAGTGCATGAGTCTGAAGAAGGATTTATGGACTAGTATTGGACTTATGGGCTAATATCAGTCTTATGGACTTGATCTGGA